CTCGGCAAGTCTCCAGTCAACAGACGAAGTCTCAGTGCCTGACAGACAGGAGCTCGCAGCGTGGTGTCAGAAACCGCTGCGTGGGCATTCCCGCTTCCTGGATGTGAGTCACAGACACCCCACTTCCCCAAGCACTAACGAGGAACAGGGTCAGCTCAACAAGATATAAGCCCGGTAACACCTGGTACCCTCGACGCCAAGTGATGCCTAGATCCTCCGTCCAGCCTGAGTCACCGAGGGTAGCTCTAGCTCTTTCCCTGGCCGGTTAGAGGAACAGTTGCTGGCTCCCGTCACCCGGGACAGGGTTACAGATCCGCCAGCCAACGTCACTTCCGCGACGTAGAGCAGGTCAGCATCCGTGGCACCACCAGGAGCGGCGTGGTTCGTTGAGATCCCGTCAAAATAACAGCCCACTTTGTCTAAGTCATTTGATATGAATATGTGTTCAGTCAAGTTATATATGTGTTTTTTTCTAACTGCAGAACTTAATGAGCCAGCTCATTTTTATTTAAGACTCTCGTCAGAGCTCCAGAAAGGGAGATCGTTGTGTTAGTGATTACACCATTGGTTAACGCGTGTTCAAGTGTTAACATATAGCTAGTGACGGTGGCTCCTGCTACCGAACTGCCGTATATAATCGCTGCACGTGTGGCAGTCGCTCTCTTTCCATCATGTAAGCAAGCCACACTGACGTGTGAATAAACAGCTCCTAAGTTACTCACAATCTTATACGTTTCTATAACGCAACAGTTTTCAATTTGGAAAGTTTTCTGAGTTATTCCTTTACTTGGCATTTTATGTATTGCTCGCAATCTTAACTTGTTAGCTTGTTGTTCTTTTTTGATCTGTAAATTACTAGCTTTCCTATAAATTGTTATAATTTTATACATTCTTTGTTATGTATGATGTTTAGGATTTCTTCCATTTTTCTATTGTTTATATTTGAATATGGTTTTGCACTGAATGTTGCTTTACAGTTATATGTATTGTTTGTCAGTTTTTTTGTTTGTTTTTTTACTCAATTGTTACAGTTAATGTCAGTTTTCATTTGTCAAGTCAAATGTATGTTATTATAGATGTTACGTATGGCCAAATGTTATAATTGCAATTTTGTTCAAATGCATTTTTCAAAAAACTTCTGAGTTATTCCTTTATTCCTTTACTTGGCGAGTATGTATCGTTCGCAAACCTGACTAATTGTTATAGCTTGTTGTTGTTTTTTGATCTTTAAATTGCTTGCGTTTATATATGTTCATTTACTGACTTTGATTATAATAATTAATATATGTCAGATGTTTAGAAATTTTTCTATTGAATTTATTTGAATATGGTATTGTACAGATTGCTTCAGTACAGACGTACAGTGTATTCATTAACGTATTATAAACGTACATGCTTAGCCTGTTTTGTTGTAATTTACATTCAAGATTGTTTATTTATATTGTCATTACTGTAAACATTCTGCTCAAAGTTTGCTTGACATAGGAATTATCTCTGCTTATATCTTGTATAACGTTTAAACAATTGTGAATCATGTAATTGTTGTATCTTCATATTTGTATTATTCTTCACTTTGTTCAGTTACACGCTTAAAGTTCACGTGTAGTTAAAATCTTATAGTAAATTATTACTAGAACAATATTACTATATTTCTCTTCTGGCTCAACGACAGTTGCCCGCTTACTTTTTAAATTATAATTTTCTAGGGGATAGATGACCGTATGGGCTTTTCGCCATCTCTTCGCGGTATTGTTTTCTTATTTGCCTTGTTAATTTTTGTTTTATGTTGTAAGCGAAAAATAAAACTGTTATATCTTATATATCTTATATCTTGTGTTTGAGGATGAGAGGCAACCTATTTTAGGTTACCAGACGAGTGTACAAATGAATCTCATACAAGTTCAACATGACAACTTCGACGTGGTCGCTGCAATGTCCACACAAGATGGCTTCGCAGAGGTATATGATAAGAAGCTGGGAGAATTACCCGGTACCCAGCATCGTAATGTTTGTGCTGGTGCGATACCTGTGGTGATGGCCAACAGGAAAGTCCCCATCGCGGTGCGACCGAAACTAAAGATGAAGCTGGAGAGGCTGAAGGAGATAAATGTCATCAGCCCGGTTGACGAGCCGACGATGCACGTTAAACACTCACACCATCGACAGGAGCATAGGCACTACTGCAGCAGCGGCGGCGGCGGCGGAGACAACAAGGAGAGCCACCTGGTGTTGGAGACAAATCCGCTGGAGTGGGCGGTGGACGACGTCGCTCGATTCATCGAGAACACAGAGTGCGCTCACATGTCTCGCATCCTCATGCAGGGAACAGGAGATTGACGGTCAGGCGCTGATGCTGCTTAACCTGCCTACGGTGCAGGAGCACCTTGAACTAAAGCTGCGGCCCGCCGTGAAGCTATGTCATCACATAGAGAGGGTCAAGGTCGCTTTCTTCGCACAGTCAAGCGACGTCGCCGGCATCGCCCGGGCAAGTGCGCACAGCCGTACAGGTGCCGGACCAGCGGCATCCTGTTCCAACATGTTCAAAGCAGACCCACCCGGAGCATCCAACGGTGAAAGCTATGGAGCATTCTGAGTCAGGTGCTACAGATTCGACAGCCGCGGAGAAAGGATACGCCGCATACCGTACGAGATCAGGAAGAATCGTGAAGAAAGTGGGGCGGCTAAATTTGTAATCGTTGTCATTGTTTCAGCGTGGCAATGTCAGTAACGGTCCCCGAGTATTACGTTGTTGGTTAGGATTTGCTAAAACATATGCGCGGTTATCCAATAATTCGATGTCAGTATTGACACACGTTTATATTTTGACAGTTGTAAAAATCTCATTTTGTATAATGGGAAAGATGTTACGTGACAATAGATTTGAACTATGTCGGTCCACAGGTGGAGCTATGGTCACTGGGCATATAGGATATATACCACCAACACGTGCCATGTGCTTTCTCTTACTTTCTTAGTACAGCCACCTGGCACTACCTGGTCAAGCTCGGTGTTCAGCCTATAACGTAACAGCTATGATAAAAATGTTGGATATGGTAAAGGTTTATCAGAATGACTCGCTTTATAAATGATATAGCATGTCCTAGCCTATATGTTACCCACGACGGGCTCATTCTGGACATAGACTCGCGAGTGCATGTACATTTACAATTTCACTGAAATACTCGTGATTTTGGCAGATACTGAGCATGCGCAAACCCATACCTAACTCTCCGCTACATCAGCATATTTTAACGAATTTTGTCGATGCTTCGCATGGTAGTATCGGTGTTCACGCATGCCCAGTAACTGCCAAAAGTATATGTATATTGTTAAGATTTTACATTTGATATGGAGGGTGGCTATTTGAGATATGTTGGATATGATAAAACATCAGAATGACTTTATAAATGATAGCATGTCCTAGCCTATATGTTACCCGCGACGGATCCATTCTGACTCGTTGGTGCATGTACAATTCGCAGATATTCGCTTTTTCGCAGATATGCGCGGATGTATCCCCGACGCTTTGCTATATCATTCATTTTTCTCTTATATTGCATAGAATTTGCAAGCCACGGATATTGGTTCGCGCGTCCGCAGTTACGGCTGAAAGGAAGAGTATTTTGTAAAAAGTTTACATTTAAAATAGGAAGTGGCTACCTAAGACTAGTTTTATGACTATATTAAATAATAACTTATTTTATAAATAACGCACGCGTGCACGCGCAGGCACGCACACACGCGCACACTCACGCACACGTGCACGCGCAGTCACGCACTTGCTATGTTAAAACATCATCTCAGTACAGAAATTTATTCCTACAATCACGTGCTGCCACCTCGCGTTGATGTTAGGCAGTGCATGGTGCGTTTGCAGCAGGAGTGCTATCTATTGTAACATACGCACCTACACCCGGCCGCACACCGTAACTCTACCCGCACTTCATAATTGCTTCGTCTTTGTTTCCTGGCACTGGAGATTTCTCTCTCTCTCTCTCTCTCTCTCTCTCTCTCTCTCTCTCTCT